AATTATAACGTTGCAACCCTAAGCAGAACTGGCCTCGATGGCTAACTCCGATTTATCCTCAGCGGCATGTTTTGGGCTCAGGGCATACCTCAAGACCAAGAGTATCTGGGTAGTTCCCCAACATGAGGGTCCAGAACCAGAATAACCCACAACCAAATTAGTGGCCCTAACATAATTTAGGGTATACTCCCTTATGCAGGGATATGGGACTTTCTAGAGTATTGAACTTAACAGCCTGTGGGCTCCTTCTGTGGTTTTGGTCCAGCATTTTGTCCAAGTATGGTCGTTTACGGTCCCAGCATTGCATGGGAAGCCCATACAGCTCTCTTGCTGAAAAACAGTACTCTACAAGGGACGCCTTCCCGCCTTACTTTCGGTGCAGACCAACATTGCATGGGTAGTCCAAAACCACTTACCGACGAAATTATAACAATCCAACCCTCCCCCAAACTAACAGGCAACCCCAAAACCCTAAACCCTAGTCACTCGAAGCCCTAAACCCTAAACCTAATCATGAGCCTTTTGTAGAGCCCGTCATGACATTCCATGCTAGTTTTTTGGGAAACGTACCTCCTTATATACCCTAAACCCTAAACCGTGTGTATAAGGATTGGGGTTGGTTGGGGAATAAAACAGAGAAAGGTTTAGGGGTTAAGGGTTTAGGGTTCAGGGGTTACGGGTTTTAGGGTTGAGGAATCAGGGTCCCGGGGGTGTTTCTGGGGCGAGACTGCAGAAGAAAATGGAAGCTGCAATACGACTCAGAGGTCAGGGCCCGTCTTGATTAAGGGGAGTATGGAGGAAAGTAGAAGCCATGACAGGGGGATATCTTAAGGGTTCTTCTTCCAGGGATCCACCCCTGCTCCCCTTAAGCACTCTAAACCTAAACCCTAAAACCCAAAACTAAGCCCCTAAGCTACACTATGGCCCCAATATATTGCCTATAATCCCTATATAAACCCGGATAGAACCACCATAATCCCTGTAGTTCTCATTTTCTTTTCCGTTATCCCAATATAGCATTCCGCCACTCACCACTCCCCATGAAGCACCCGTAAGTTCCTCCACCATCGTTGGCATGGGCCTTGGGGCGCAACGGCTGTCTTAGCTCCAACCTAAACCCCAAGCCCTACCTGGACCCCCAAAGTATGTAGAATACTGGCTTCTTGGCCTATATGTTGCGGTTCTGGGACATTATTTTAACTACTTTGAAGGTTTAGGTAAACCACCCTGAGCCCTAAACTTGGACGGTCGCTCTACTATGGTTTGCTTTGCAAAAAGAGTCAGGGCGTATCAGTTAGGGAGAGGGGACCGATACAGCTCCGACACGCCTCCGACACACAACCGACACACGACCGACACGCCTCCGACACACAGCCGACACACAACCGACACACAACCGACACACGACCGACACACGACCGACACGCCTCCGACACACAACCGACACACAACCGACACACGACCGACACGCCTCCGACACGCCTCCGACACACGACCGACACGCCTCCGACACACCACTGACACGCGACCGACGCGCATCCGCTTCATAACTGATACGCAACTGACGCACAAACCGACGCGCAACCGATGCACCTCCGACACACCACCGACAGGCGACCGATGCGCCTCCGACACATCACTGATACGTGCTTCCGACACATCACTGATACCCATGGGGGGGTTGTCCGAAACATATCCGGGACTAGACTGAAGCGCTGCGGGGCTTGCTTTTGGACGGCCGCTGCGGTCCTCTGATATATGCCGCGTTGTGGAACTCCATTCCCACTCTCTCCCCCCTCCCGAAACCGTCCCCTCCAAGCCCTCCAACTCCAACCCCTTGATTCTCTCCAACCCCACCCCAAACCCCTTCCCCTCCCATTGCATCGCTTGGAACGAGCTTCAATTTTGTCATAGGTTTAGTTAAGTGTTATCGTTAGACTCAGCTATATACATATATTTCGTGAAAGTACACGTACAATAATGTAAGGAATAGACCAGCCCGTAAGAGCTAAGTAAACTAAATGTAAAGGGGGCTGCACTGCCAGTCTTTAAGTCCAACTCTATAAATCTAGGTTAAGGTCTAGGTTTAACGCTTTAAGATTTGTTCGTTAAGGGCCGAAAGCCATCAGCAATTGTGGCTAACAGATAATTTCAGAACGGAATCCACGTCTGCGTCTAATCTAGATTTGGGGCCTAAAGCACTAAGTCCTGTGCCCACGCTTTGGGCATGGTTGGGAGCATAAGTCTGACCAGAACTTGTTCCAAACGTTCGCCAGTGCGGCTAGCAGACGATTCCGGGGCATCCGAAGCTAGGATAAGCCCGGAGGATTTAGTAAAGGTTATGACACAAAGGACAACGAACTAAATGTCTCACGGCTGCAGTGGAAAGTTGGTTTGGCTTGATGACCATGATATAGATAATATGATAGTGTAGAAAGCATGTTCCGGGCATCATCAGCACAGCGTGGAGCGGGAAGTCTTGCGCCACAGTTCGTCAGGTTCAATTTGGTAGTAAGCTTTTAAACTTTTAAGGGCTTAATGGACCGAGGGCGCAGGCATGGACCCTCCCTTAAAGGGGGGGGGGGGTGGGGCGGGGGTCCAAAAAGTGGTCTGGGCCAATTACCCGAAAACTAACCCCCTAGGGGGGGGGTACGACGGTAACATGATGAACCTTGGTACTTTCATTCAAGCCAGTGGACAACATGGACAACTCATGCGTGCGCAAGCAAACTGAAAGCAAAAACTCGATGGATTGTTTTTTCCGGGAGCGCAGCCACCACCCCGTCATGGCTGAATCCCTTGCTAACAGCAGGAGGCAACTGGATCATGCTCTATTAGATTTCATTATAGATTTCGTTCGTGATGGTTTCATGATGTTTCATGCCAGTGCGCCTACGCTGCTGGAAGTGAAACAGGCTCTGCTGTTGCAGATTGCACTCTCGTGAGGAACTCAAACACGGTGTTGGCGGAAGTCTTGCCTGGCGTGATAATAGATTTAGCTAAAAACGCTCCAAACATGTAATCGTTTAACGCAGATGAGAATAGATAATGCAGCAAGGATACCAGGCACAGGGATCAAGGGCATCAAATGCTGGTAGATGGTCTTGCTGAATCTGTATCCTTTCAGGTCGCCGCATAACTTCAAGAAGTAGCTTGGCACACGCAACAGGAGAGACTCCCATGAAGCCGGTCGCTTCAGCATCACATTGCCCTCTGCGTTGACGAAAGGATGCCCCACACGGGTGTACTCTGCTCGAAGTCCTTCAAAGAAGCTGTTGAGTGTTGCCTCAAGCTTGCCCCTCATGAAGGAGCGGTCGTTGAACAGAGCCCGCTCAGGTAGGTCAGAGGCAGCTGCAGCACGTGTCAACTCCTGCTCCTCTTCCTCATCCACCGCTGCAGCATCCAGCTCGCCAGGAAGCTCGGGCAAGGGACACTTTCCGGAAACCAATGCACGCATGGCATCCTCGGAGGACTTGGTGAGCCGCACGTGAAGGCGAATGGCACTTGGTTTGACTTCCGAAGCTTGCAACTCACCGAACACGTGGGCTTCACTAGGCTGAATCAACATCACCTGTCCCGCGCACGAGGCCGTCAACTCCTCTGATCCCTCGCACCGCTGCATCTTGACGACATGGATGAGCTTCGTGGCGTTGGCTGGCAAACTACCCGGCATAGGCTTGCTGGTTCTGATACGCTGGGATGGCTTGCTGGCACTTTTGAGGACCGCGCCCCTGTAGACACACAAGGTCACCGCAACACCTGAGACCGTCAGAAATCACTATCCCGCAAAAAAAATGAAAAAAGGAATCCCAAAATCTTAGATATTGTTAAACATTGCTAAATATTGCTAATCAATATTACACATGCCCAGGCACACGGCTTGCCATTGACATCCCGCACAGCCAACAGCTGAGGAGAAGCTTCTGATGAGCATGGACGGTAGTCCTCCACAGGGGTCAGCCCTTGCGAGCCACCAACAACCTCGGCCACCTGCATACTGAGCTTCTTCTGGGCATCAGCCCACATCTGAAAGCGGCTGATTCTGATACGGGATAGTTGCGCGTTCCGGCGAGCCACAGCTAGAAGATGTTCTCGGCGATTCCAGTCGTTGCCAGCCGGGATGCCGCCCTCTACGGTAGCCACGGTCAAGATGGACTCCTCGCATCGGATGTACCTGATGAACTGCCGCATTGGCGTGAGAAGGGCTTTGGCACGTAGAAGACACGCTCGCTCTCCTTGACTTTCTGGCTCCCCGAAGGCGAAGCACTCCTTGCCCGTCCCGAATGCATGCTGCATGACGTCCACCAATGTCTGCGGCTGCGCACATCCGGACGACTCCACATCCGGCGCGCCGAAAACAGCATCCGCACCCTGTATACAATTTTGGATGGTTTGGGATGCTTCTGGAATGTCTTGGATACTATGAGGATGCTTGCATAGGCCGACTCTGATGTAGCTTCTAGAATATTCTACACTTCCAATGATGTTATATGATGTTATACGCTAATTCAGGTCACTCAAGGCATCATCGCCTCCCAATGCACCCCCATGCCCCCCCTCGCTGTCCTGCTTCTCAGCTTCCACTTCCTGGACGTCTGCTGCTGGTTTAGGAGCCGCGTCATCCTGCTCCATCTCACGATGCATCTGGGACAGCTCCTCCTGAACGGCTGCCCTATCCTGAACAGCCTGGATGAGCTGGCATTCAGCTTCGTGGGGCACGCCCAAGTAGTCGGACATCTCCTGACACCCCAGCTCCTCGAGGATGAAATCTTCCGGGCTCGACTCCTCCGCTGTGACAACCTGAAAAAATTGATGGCCCTTCTTCTTGCACCACTTGTCGAATATGTCGGCGACCTCATCGTAGGTGGAATCGATGCTCAGGCAAGTGAAGAATTTGATGCTGACATTCAAAGCCCCAACGCTGCATTTCGAGATTGTTGCTGCATCCAGCGGCTGTCGGCACCTGTCTGTATGCTGCACGGACGCGAGGCGTTCTGCACTCAGCCCCTGCAGCTTGCGCATCTGTTGCAGGACCACGCGCGCAGTGCCTTGCACGCAGTCCTTGATGGATGGTGCCCCTCGAGACGGCTGAAATAACTTTCGATTCCCAACTCTTGCGCCAGCACCGGCTCTATGCCAGTGAGCGTACTGTGGACAGCGTGGGCAGCTAGCAGACAGATATTCTTCACCGTTTGCCCCGACAACGTGTATCCCTGCCAAAGAGTGCCGTGCTTGTGTTGGTTGAGGGAGACATGAAGAGCCATGCAATAAAAAATTGTAAAGCCGTTGAAGCACTGCTGTCGCTTGTCCAAAGCCCTGCTCGCAGTGGTGTACGACGCTTGAAGGGCAGCCAGAAATGCAGCAACGTGCAATCCCAGCGAAAAGCAGCTGCGTTGCACATAAGGTTGGCTCAGGCGCTGAACTGCAGCACGATCAGACATGATATCCGCACCGGCATACGTTTTGTGAGGTATGCCATGCCCCAGTAATGTTGAGCACTCAACCCATAGCGCCCCAAACATCACCTTGCGCGTGCACCCCAGGAACTGCAGGCTAAGACGCTTCTGCACGTGGTAGCCTCCGTTGAAAGCGCAGACCTGAAACCCCTCGGCTTTGGGCACTGAGTGGTACAGCAAGTAGCTGTATGGCCAATTCTTGCATCTGGTCATGCGCAGGACCTGCCACAGGAATTATTGCAAGCAGAAAAGCAAACATCATCAACTATCATAAGCATCATTAAACAATATTAAACATCACACCATATCATACCATGCCAAAATGTACCGACATCACACGTTATGACACGCAATGAAATGAAGCACTAACATGCCTCGCAGCGCTTGAACCATGGCAAGGTCTGCAGCGTGTCCACATGGACCATTCCGGCGAAGGCTGCGTTGATCTGGCTATTGAGGGTGGCACCATCAAATGCCACCGATTGCGGGGGCGCCCCACTGGCAGCGTCTGTGACAACCTCAAGATAATCAGCCAGCAACTGCAGCATCTCTTCAGCACTGCTACCCCCGTGGGCACGAGGCAGCGTACAGCTGTCCACCACATACTCTCGGGAATCGGGCCGCTGCAGACAAAAGTGAAGCGTGAGCTTTGCCAGTTTGTCCATGGGGACGTGGCCCACGCCACCTCCCAATTTCTCCGCCTCCACCATGTGATACGTCTCTGATGGATGTCTATGCCACAACCCGCCAACAAGAAAGTCGGTCTGCTGTCTCATGTGACGCACCTGTTCGACCCCCGGGGACCACACCGTTTCGTCCACCATCAGGTGGAGTCTTCTGTTGACACACCGCAGTATGGAAGCGGCCCTATTAAAGCTGTCCTTAAGCTGTGTATCGGATGAGAGGCTTCCAAACGCAGCAGGAAAGACAGGCGCGTCCAAGCAGAGTTTTGGCAACGCTCGAGGGTTCAGGCGAAAGAGCCTCAAGAGTCCATCCCACTCTTTGCTCTTTCCTAGAACCTGGAAAGCTTCTGCAGCCCCCTGTAGGTCGCTCATGTGGCGGGAAGAGTTCGGGCGCTCCAACACCTAGGGTAAGTTCTAACTCTTATTATATCTGTTATTATCTTTGTATGAGGCGTCAGGCTATATCATATTACTCTACCCTTGGACTAGATCATCTAGATTCCAAATGAGGGGAGGGAGATTATATAACCCCACCTGCTTGCTCTGCAACAGAAAAGTGGTCACAAGCCCCTGCACCAAGGCCTCCCCACGAAGCCCACCAGCAGCTACACGGGCTGCCAGGCGCAAATCCAACTCCTTTGCGCGCCCTTCGAGAACGGCTGTGCTCAGCGCTGAGGTCAAGGCATTGTGCGCCGTGGCTTCGGCGTCGGAGTCGCAGAACAGCGACGCCGAAGGTAGCCTTGAGTCCAGATAAGACTTCCACGATTCGCTGAGCCTCCACAGAGGTGTGCAGTCGAACCTGCTCCTGACTTTGCGGGCGAGTTCCAAGGGAGACTTCACTTCGGCATAGCTTTCGAAGTTGCTGCCAGCGAGACCCAGGATCATGAAGTCACGGGACCGAACGTGCTGTTTGTAAGACTCCGTCGCATCAGCTGTTTCATTCAAGGCTTTCCAGCAGAGCACGCAGAGGCTCATATCGAATGCCTTCTGAGCTACCGCTATTTTGAAGAGCTTGGATTTGGTAGCCCGAACGCAAGCTGAGCAAGCTACATCCCTGGCTTCACATTTGCCTTCGCAATTCCGGGCTCGGACTGCATTACCATGGTCACTGATCTCAAAGGTCACATTCGCCAGCGGGTCGCTCTCGTTGGGCGCGTAGACGGTTCTCGGCATTCCAGCAGCGAAGAAGTCCTTGAAGGAGTCTGCCATTGGATACAAATGGCTCAAAGGGTCGGTGACGCTGACGCCATGGCAGCGACCTGGCCTCTCGGCCTCCACCAACTGAGATTGCGCTGATTGCGCCTCTGACGTTGCAGCAGCCACTGCCTCACCCAAGCCAAGAGCAACCAGCCCTAAACGGTGTTTGTGCGCCCGCTCATGCTTCAACAACTTCTCCAAATCAGTGGTTCGACAGAACTTAATGTCACGCTTGCAGCTCCTGCAATAGTACTGTACCTCTGGACCCCAGGACTTCGCTGTTTCAGAATAAACATCCCTGCGGTGCTCCTTTAGATACGCACGAAGGTCAAAGCGACTACCTGCTGCCTCATCTTTCCGTGGCCTACCCTTGGGCATGGGTCTTGCCGGGGGCTTGTAAGGTACGACGGCTGCCTCCTGGGCCGTCTTGTTCTCTGCAACTGCAGACGCTGCTGAAGTGGCAGATGCACAAGCTTCCTCGGTGGCACCTTCAAGGCATTGCTGGCGCAGGCGGCTGCAGACGTTGCAGACTAGGGACCTGCTCGTATCAGACAGGGCTTGCAGGAACGCATGCCAATGTCCTTGCGGAGGAGGACACCCGTTTTGATAATGCTCGCTCTGGAAGAATGCATTGGTGAGGTCATGTTCCTTGGCAATGGTGTCACCCTCCTTTACCAATTGCTTTGTGGTCTTCGCCTTTTGCTTGCAGGCTGCCTTTGCTTTGGCAGCCGACTTCGCCAGCCTGCTGGGGCGCTTGCCCTTGGGCTCCGGCGTCAAGTCTGGGGAGCTTCCTGTCGCCGTCTCCCACGCTGTCCTCCTGCACTTGCGAACAGGTGTTTGCGGACCATCTTCAGCATCACTCTCTCTGGCATCATCACCCGGCAATCCTGGCATCGGCAGAGCTGGCGAGGAGCGCTCCTCTTTCACACGTTTCACACGATTCTCCTGATGCATTCTCGAATCTGCAGATGCCGTCATGAGCTCTTCCACCCACTCAGCAGGTAGCTGCTCGATCTGTGGAGGCAGTAGCCCGGTCTCACGGACTGTCTCCAAGATGTGGTCAGCCATGAGAATGACCACAGCTGTGACCGCAGGACCAAGCATCGGGCTGTCGCGGGACCGAGGCCTCACGAAGCTCAATGGTTGCTGGGAGCCATTTCCTCTCAGCCAAATAGGTAAGGATAGCAACGCCGTGGTCCCTGCAAGTTCTATCGCCCAGTGTGTCGTAATGCATCGCAGCGGCTGTCCCGTCAGCCTTTTTTAGGACTGCCATGACACTCCAGTGGTTAGCTGACTGCAGTAGGACTAACATCATGGATGCCGGCCACTGTAGATCTACAAGTTGGTGACGCTGCTCATCATCTCCACTGAGTACGCCTACTACCCGAGGCCATGTCTTCTCACACCAGACTTGGCACGCCGCAGTCACACCACGTAGAACCTGCACGAAATTCAACATGTTGCGGGCGAAAGGATTGTACACCTGGCCAAGATCCTTTGTCAAGAGCATCTCAACGTCACTGCCCAGCAGTAGCTTTGCTGGCCCTGACGGTTCGGCCTTCACATGGGTTTGCGATGCCTGCAGCGCAGGCTCTTCGGGGAGTGAGCCTCCAGCCAACTGCACAGGAGTCAGCACAGAGTTGGTCGCGCAGAAAGGCACGAACCTCCTGGGATTGTGTGTGCACAGGCACCCCATCCTGCTCCGCGCCACCATAGTCTGCCACACATGCTTTCCATGCGGCTGGCGCCTCTGATAAATGAGCATGACAGTCTTCTGTGACCCACTGCGAGCGCGACCCAGGACTCAAGGATCTCCAAGCTCTTGTAGCCCCGCTGAGACAGTACCGCATGATTGCCACAAACTCTAGGAGCGACGTGCGAGCTGCCTCGGAGCGAGCCTCCCGGGACAAGCAGCTGTACGCAGCTTGCCAAAGAGAGTCTGGTGAATTGTTCCTCAGACAAATCATGCTCAGGCGCATCTCAGCGATCAGACATATCAGATGAAGAAACAATCAGCAAGAAATAGAAATAGTCAGTAGCGCTATCTGCAGCTCAAGAGCAGTACCCGCAACTGGACATCACCGCATCGCTCTCGCAGAACTTCTCGGAAAATTTCCGCTGGCCGACGAATGCCTTGTTGCTGGAGAAGCTCACCCACCTGCAGAAGCACGGGTTCGTAGATTTCTGAGTATTCATAATATCTAGTAATAATGATAGTAGTAGAATGTAATAATATATAGTAGTGCTAGTAGTAGAAGTAATAGTAGTAGGATGAATAGGAAATGGTTTCGAAATAGTTCCCAGAAGGGGGGGGACCCCAGGGTTCACGTGGCAGGCGCAAGGGATTCCCACCTCGACCCCCCCCACCCAGACCAATTTTTGTGCTGTGCTATTAGTAGTACTGCTCCTATTATTACCTATTTCGAAACCATTTCCTATTCATCCTACTACTATTACTTCTACTACTAGCACTACTACGATTACCACTACATACCACTACTATCACCAGTTGAAGAGCAAAAATTGGTCTGGGCAGGGGGGTCGAGGTGGGAATCCCTTGCGCATGCCACGCGAACCCTGGGGTCCCCCCCCCCATTTGAAACCAATTTCGAAACCATTTCCTATTATCGTAATAGTGCTAGTAGTAGAAGTAATAGTGGTAGGAGAAATAGGAAATGGTTTCGAAATTGGTCTCAGAAGGGGGGAGGACCCCAGGGTTCATGTGGCAGGCGCAAGGGATTCCCCCCTCGACCCCCTCTGCCCAGACCAATTTCCTTTCCTGGAGCAACACTCAAACCATACCAAAAGTAATAATAGGAGCAATACTACTAATAGCACAGCACAAAATTGGTCTGGGTGGGGGGGGGTCGAGGTGGGAATCCCTTGCGCCTGCCACGTGAACCCTGAGTTCCCCCCCCCTTCTGGGACCATTTACTTCATCCTTCTCTGCTTTACTACCAATATCTACCAATACAAAATCTACTAATACATACTAATACCCATTCGCATTCCTAATCTGATGAATAGCTTCACCCTCCCCAAAGTGGTGGTTTTGGTTATAGCATGCTATAGCACCGCATAGCACCGCCCGTCGTCGTGGCAGCAGCAGCAGCAGCAGCAGCAGGAGTAGTAGTAGTAGTAGTAGTAGTAGTAGTAGCGGTTGGGAAGGGGGCGCACCCTGTTTTTTCCCAGAGATTCCGAAGAAATCTCTAGGACTTGAATCCCCTACCATCCCTACCCTAGAAAAAACACTCGGACCTGTTTCGTGGCCTGGCGCAGGGCGCAAGCTTTAGGTTGTAAGGTTTAGTTTCAGGTGGGTTGAGATGTGTTGAGATAGTAGGAGTAGGAATGCACAGGGGTAAGAGATGGTAGGAGCAGGAGATTACTCTGATATACTCTGATTTACTCCCCCGGCCTCATACTCACATTTGACACTCACATCCTTCAGCCGGCCATCCGAGCCACTTGCCTGCAGGCACGAGAACATGAAGGACGGACAACGGCGGGATGTCATCATGTATCATCATGTTTCCTCAAAGGATGGGCGTGGAAGGGCTCAGGAAAAGGCCTTGCTTTCGCTATTGGCGACCGCATTGGTCATCCCACGGGAGACCGCCTGATCCACCTGCGCGGAACTGCTTTTGCTTTACGGGGGGGGGTCTGCCATGCAGCAGCACATGGCTTGATGTGAGTAGCCCAGCTGCGATCATCTTGGATCAGAAAAGTATCAAAAGCTCAGACAGGGTTAGCATCTGTGATCATCTGTGAGTAATGCCTTGTCCTCCCTCTTGGAAGCCATTGCATCCATTGCACCGCCAGAGATCACCTGCGCAACAGCAAGCGTCAAGCATGAGAAGCTCGGCATTCGCGAGCGGCACCACTTCCAGCACGCGCAAGCAAATTCAGGACGCTTAGCATAAGTTGGGATATGTTGGGATGCATTTGCCCTCTCTTTTTGACACGCAGCAAGACAGGTGAACCCCTCCGCCTTCCGCAACATCAGTTTTGAGGAAATCATCGGAGATCGAAGGAGCATGAAGGAGCATAAGGAGCACGGAACGTCGTGCGTGGTGGTATGTGGTGGCTCTCTCAATACATCTCAGTCATCACAATGCTTAGAGGATCCCAGAACCATCCAGAACCACACTATACCACACTACTGGCCGTGTCTGACAACATCTGACCTTTGTCAGTCTACTTCACTGCGGATTGCATGGATTGCCAAGCAGCCAGCCATACCTTGAAGACGGCATTGCTGAAGCAGGCCGTGTATCTTGCCGCAGATGCCAGGTCCTTTCCGCCCGATACCTTTCCATTGGCATCCTCGCATAAAGAACTGATTGGTGCAACATGGTGCAAGAAACTGGAACATCTGGAACAAAGCTTACATCAGCCAACGCTGACAACCCATATCCTTGGTGTAATACTGCTTCGGCCGCCTGCGCTTTGCTTGTCTTTTGGCCTTGGCTCAACACGCAACGCCAACTATCCCCTTGCCCTGGTTGTCATCTGCGTCATTCTGTGTCACATGATGTCACAATATGTCACACATGGCACCACGTGGCAAGGTCATGCCATGTCATGCCAGCAAGCAGGTGTAGTGATGAGGTCGCTGCCAGTCGAGCTTGCACTTGCGCTTTGCGCTTCTTGGTCATCACGCGGGCCAGCTTGGACAGACCCTCCATAGTACTAACCAGATGGGTTGGTTTCTCCAAATCATGGTTGAAGCAACCCATCCTTGGCTCCATCATGTTCCATCCTACCCTCCCTGGCCTAAGCTCTCAGAATCCCTCAGAAGCCCAGTCATGGATTTGGCAGCAGACACTGAAACACTAATATCCAGGCGGCCACGTAGTGATCTTCACGGCACAGGTTGCAGCAACCAGACCCATCATACAAGGAAGATGGAATAGCCAGCTGCTGGTCGGTTGTTCCACGACCCATTGCAATTTGATCCCCTGTCTCCCCATAATTTGCAGAAAACACACCTCAGCGACGGACGCACAGTGACGCACATAAATCCACAACGCTCCATAGAGTGGCCATCTGTGGCCACACATGCCCATGCAAAGCAGGAATGCCGCAAGATGGCGCAAGACATCTGCCTAGCGGCCATATTCTCGGCTATCAGATTGCTCAGCGCCACCCGCATGTTGCTTGTATCTCCCAGCGGATTGCTTGTCGTGCGCTGATGCACGCTGCAAGACCTCAGCAGGATAGGCTTCAGCAACACCACTCCTATCCAATCCTAGACATGTCATGGGCCAGAAGACATGACCTGCATCATCCTGCGTTGTTTGGCACATATGGCACATTTTGGCGCACAATGGCACACACCGCGGCTACTAGCTGCAGCTGCGCAACATGAAGATCTGGAGGGAGCACGGTGGCCCCGCTATGATGGCCGCGCCATCTAAACACTGCATGCCCAAGCCGCTATTTTGCAGGGTCTTGGAGATGCCAGGCACATCCAAGCACGAAGAATCAATCAAGAGCAGCCATGCAGCCCAGCAGCGGAGGAGGGTTAAGAAGCCGCGCTTGGCCACTACATCATGCGAGCGACGTCCCAGCTTGATATCATAACTCACCGCCTGCGCGGACGCCAGCACAACCCTGCCCACAACATCCCGGCATATCCCAGCTGACCCAGGCCTGGAACCCTCCACGGCGCCAGGCTCGTTGGATGCTGCTGGAACAGCCGAAAAGATCTATGCAATGTAGATGCCGCTCAGCTGCCAGGGGAATGATTTGGATTGACATGGAATATCATAGAATGGTGTGCCTCTCTACACGCAAAATCATGCAGCATCATGCAGCGCACCCCCGTCCCTAGTTTTTTTTCCATTCCCAAAGTATATCCCGTGTTTCTGGGATTTTCTGGAAGACACCGAGCCCAGTATTCCCGCAGACCCAAGCCTGGAGGATGCGAAGCCACGTACTCCATCATCTCCGCAACATGCTGCGAAGCCCGGAACCATTCCTCTGGGTTCATCGTCGTAGTCGTGTCATCCTGGGCCAAGAAGCTCAGAGACGTTCGGCATCAAAACACACACGGCATACGTACAGCATCGTACAGCTATAATTATCATTCCAAGCAGCTGAGA